CGCGCGCGTGTGGTCGCTTTGATCGCTTTGATCGCGGGAGCGGCCGGAACCTCGCCGGCAACGACGCGACCGGGGCTGCCGACGCTGCTGGTGGACGGCTCAAGTGGTTGAAAATGAGCAACGGTTCAACACCTTCAATAATCGGTTCATCTTTACCCTGCTGGCCTGCTTCGCTTGCGAGATGGCCGACGAAAAGGCGACTACGGAGACGCCGCCGGCGACCGACGCCGTGGCGACAGAAACATCAGCGACGACTCCGAAACCTGCGGCGACGCCGCGAGACGATGCCGCCGACGCCGCGGCGACCGGCGGCGCCAAGGACGAGACCGACGCCGCCCTCGCGACGCGCCTCGACGCCGCGGACGAGGCGCTGATCGCGTCGCTGGACCCGGCCAAGTACGACCTCGACGCCGTGCGCGCGAAGCTGCGCGCGCTCCGCGACGAGGACCCGGCGACGCCCGCCGCGCGGCGGCGGCGCCGCGGCGGCGCGTCGTCCGCGAAGATGACGAACCTGATGATGGTCGGCGCCATGTGCGTCGTCGCGCTGTCCATGCTGCTCGCCGGGCCCGAGGGCCTCGCGAAGCCCGAGGTCGCGACGCTCGAGCAGACGCTCTTCAAGACCGTCATCTCGCCGCAGCCGGGCTTCAACCTCGGCGGCAGGAACGGGCCCGCCGTCGACTGGGTCGTCTTCTTCTACAAGCCCTACTGCGGCGCGTGCCGCCGCGTGCGGCCCTTCTTCCACGCGCTGGGGACGACGACGAACCACACGGACGTGTTGCGCTTCGGCGAGATCGACTGCGTGCGGCACCGCGCCTTGTGCCGCCACGCGGGCGCCAAAGCGCAGCCCATGATCAAGATCTACAGCGCGACGCGGGACGGCTACAAGGACACCGCCCCGTCCTTCGACGCCGACCAGAAGAAGTCCTTCCTGCGGCGGCCCGTGGCCACGTGGCAGGGCGTCCTCATCGCGTACGAAGTCCTCGGTTGGTTCCAGGACGCGCAGCGCTCGGGCTTCATCCGGCCCGAGGTGACCTGGGCGCCCGAGGAGAACATCACGGCGGCCATGCAGGCCTGGAAGCGGGGCGGCGACGCGCAGACGGAGGCCGCGGCGACGAAGCGCTCGGACGACCCGAAGGCCTACCTCGTCGCCGTCGATTTGGCCGTGCGCATGGGCTTCCACGACGCGCTGTTCATGCGCGACGACGCGCTGGAGGGCGACCGGTTGGGTGCCCTGATCGAGTGGCTCGACGCTTTAGGCTTCGCGCTGCCGCGGAAGGACTGGCGGACGCGCGCCGACGAGCTCCGCGCGGTCGTGGCCGCGAAGCCGAAATGGAAGCGCGAGGCGCTGACGAAGCAGCTCGTCAAGCACGGCTTCACCGAGCCGAGCGAGCGCGACTGGGCGGCCTGCGGCGCCTGCGCGCCGCGGGGGCCCGAGGCCGCGGGCACGGGCGGCTACGCGTGCTCCTTGTGGCTGCTGTTCCACGCGCTGCTGGCGAACTGCGACCGCCGCGCGGCGCCCCACGTGCTCGACGCGATCCGCGCGTTCGTCGTCAACTTCTTCGGCTGCGCGGACTGCGCGGCCCACTTCGGCGCCATGTGGGACGAGCTCGACGGCGCGGCGGCTTCGAACCAGATCGACGCGAACGTCTGGCTCTGGCGGGCGCACAACGCCGTGTCGCTGCGTCTGAAGGCCACGGACCCGGACGCGGCGCCCTACAAGGCCGCCTGGCCCGACGAAGCGCAGTGCGCGTCCTGCTTCGACGAGGCGGGCGACTACGACGAGGACTACGTCTTCCAGTTCCTCATGGAGACGTTCTGCTTCGACTCCGACACGTTCGTCTGCGCGGCCTTCGACGACCCGTCCGTCTCC